AGATGGGCTTATACTGGTTCTAGTTGAGCCCTAACCCAAGGACCCTACCCTTAAAAAACAGGACATCTGTGCACATACCAGGGAAGTTTGTGCAGATACCAGGAATCAAATGAGATGCTGATGAAGGAAGCAGAGGCTGGAGTGATAGACTACAAGCCAGCAAATGCCAAGGTCTGAGCCAAACAAGAGGCAGGGAAGTTTTCTTCCTTGGGTTTCTTGCAGGAACCAACTCTACTAGCATCTTAGTTTGGAATTCCAAACTCTGGGACAATGGAAAAAAATCAATATCTATTGTTTTGAGTTATCCAATTTATTGGCTTTGTTATAATACCCCTGAGGAATGAATCCAGAAGATTAAATGTGTTGTCTGATGGAAATATTGACCAAACCAAAATGGGCTGCAACTGACTGCTGGTTACCAAGGCAGTGGTAAGATCAGTGATTCATCATTTTCAGGCATGGGCATAGAGGAAGTCTGCACCCCTAGTCAGAAAGGAAGCCAAGGGTATCACATCCAGTACACTATTTTATTTTATGTATGTGGGTCTTTTACCTGCATATATGTCTGTACTCTGAGTGCCTGGTACCCTAGAAGTTCAGAAGAAGGCATCAGATCCCCTGGGACCAGAGTTACAGATGGCTGCCAGCCACCATGTGGGTGCTGGGAATTGAACCTGAGTCCTCTTAAAGAGCCCCCAGAGCTGTTAACATTGAGCCATCTACCCAGCCATCTTTCTGTGCTGAGCTGCAAAATAAGGACGACTTTTAACATGTGTAGTGCTTTGATGGAAATCAAAAGGACACTAATACTTTATGACATTTCAAAATTACATGAAATTTGGGCCTGCTAGATGGCTCAGTGAGTAAAAGCACTTGCTGAGTGAGCCTGAAGGCCTGATCTCAAAAGTTGTCTTCTAGGCTAGCCTGGTCTACAGAGTGAGTTCCGGGACAGGCTCCAAAGCTACAGAGAAAACTTGTCTCGAAAAAGTTGTCCTTTGACCTTCATACACGTGTCTCTCTCTCTCTCTCTCTCTCTCTCTCTCTCTCTCTCTCTCTCTCTCTCTCACACACACACACACACACACACACACACACACACAAATGTCTGTAACAGCATCATGTTCACATAGTCATACCTGTGTATTCTATGGTTGCATACAGTAAATGCAAATAAAAAATTAAAAAATTTGATTCCCCAAGATGCTAAAGAAGGGTGAGATTTTCTTCATTTTCATTTTTAAGCACCTGTCAGGGCTCATTCTTTGCATATCCTTTGGAGGTGTATAAAAACCTTTTCATTTAAAATCTCTGGTCAGTTTTACCCCCTGGGAATGTTTTCACAGAAAGCTGGGAGCCATTGCTTTGAAATGGAATTGTCAAAGAAGGCTGTATTCTTATCTCTCAAATTCCCTAGGTGGGAAGAAGCCTGATTTTGGCTCACATCAACTCCAGAGATGAGAAAAATATATTATTCCTTTGGACTAAAGGCAATTTAAATGGTCACCCCAATAACCAAGTGGATATCGGATGAGCTGTGTGGTGTCAAACTGTTTTCAAATCTTTTTACTTGAGGGCTATTTTCATTTATCTTAGAAAGTGTGTGACTAGTTTAGCTGATAGCATTAAAAGGTGAGAGTTTGCTCTTTCTTTGAAATCTGTTTAGTAGACTGATTGTAATAAATATAATTTTGACTTAGTAAGTATTCATAATAAATAATTCTCCCCCCCCCCCATGCTTTCTGGATGTGAGTGTTACCAGCGAAATTGGTGTCCCTTCTTGGAGGTTTTAGTTTCACTAGTAAAAGAACTTAAGGGTGCACTCAGAAGAAAGCTTGAAGGCAATTTTTATTAGAGTGTAAAAGGAAAACTACAGGGCAAGTAAACTGTAAACATCAACATCTCTCTGGAGGAGGAGAGAGAAAACCAGGCTATTTGAGGTAAGCCTGCAAGTCTATCAGTGGAAGTCAACCTCATGGCCAGGGGGGAGAGTGCTTCAGATAAAGAGTAAGGAAGCCCAAAGTGCTGGGGGGAGCATGCCCAGGCTCAGGTCAGCATGAAAGGAGGAGGAGGAGGAAGGGGGGGGGGAGGGGAAGGAGGGGAAGAAGGGGAGGAAAAAGGAAGGAAGAACAAAGAAGGGGAAGGAGGGAAGACAAAGAGGTTGAAGAAAGAAGCAGGGGGGGAAAGGAGGGGAAAGGGGAGGGGAAGGGGGAGGGGAAGAGGGGAAGGGAAAGGCCGAAGGGGAAAAAAGATGTAAAAAGAAGGAATACAGTTACAGACAGACCTCACAGGGCCTCCAGGTTGGTCTGTGTGTAGGACTGCACAGAAGGCAGTTTTCTGAGAAGGAAAAATACATTATCTCATCAAAGGGCTAATTTATCTTCCCATCTCTTTAGCATGACACTGGGTAAATCTCCCTTCTTGAGGGGTGGTCTGGTCTCTTAGGCGATTGGCTAGCCCTACTGGATTAGTGATTATGTTTGGGGTAGTTTGGAATCTTGTCTCCACCATTACATGGTGCATAGTCACACATCCAGGAAAAACACCCAGACTAACAGAGAACATGTGGTACATGCAGACAGTAGAATCTTCAGCTGTAAAGAAAAAGTTCATTATGTTAAATGTAATAAGCCAGATTTAGAAAGATAGATACTGTATGTCTTCTGACATATGCTAAAAAAAAAAAAAAAAAAAGGTGTGTGTGTGTGTGCGTGTGTGTGTGTGTGTGTGTGTGTGTGTGTGTGTGTGTAAAATGAAAGAAGGAAGCTAGGATTCAGACATGAGAAATAACATGTGCTTGTCTTGCTGAGTTTGGGTATCTCATTTAATACAATTTCAAAATTGGCTCATTTTCCTACAACACATTTTATAATTTCATTTTTCTTTTGTGAAACCAAAACATTGTTGTTAAGGAGCCACACTGTTATACATTGTTATTAAGTCTTCACACCTTATAAGTTTCTGTTACCTAAGCCTAATGTATCCTGCAGAGGTTAGGTTTTCCAACCTATCCTGAACTTGTGACCCCGTGATATATATCCACCTCTTTGTCTTGTTAAACCCCTGAACCTTATGAAAATGTCTTATTTTGCCTTATGAAAATGTGTCTTCTCAGACACCTTGATGAGTCCCCTTCCATGTGATGTATTCTCACTCACCTACCCCACAGCAGCCTTGAGCCCTGAGTCCCTCACTTTTCTGCCTCTGCAGTCCTACCTGGATGCTGGAGTCCCAGAAACTTCAGCGAGGGTTGCTGGTTTTTAGTCTACCTTACAATCTAGCAGCAATAAGGTAGCTAAACTCACTAGCAACAAGTAAGGGCAAGCAGGCAAATAGCAAGGCATCCTCTTCCAATGTCTTTTCATGTGGGCTGCCGCCAGAAGGTGTAGTTCAGATTTAGGGTGGGTTTTTCCACTTCAACTAATTCAGTTAAGAAAAATCCCTAACGGGTCGAGAAAGAAAGAAAGAAAGAAAGAAAGAAAGAAAGAAAGAAAGAGAGAAAGAGAAAGAGAGAAAGAAAGAGAAAGAAAGAAAGAAAATCAGTTGTGGCCAGCATCTTGAGTTTTTAATCGTATTTCAGATATAGTCAATTTGATAATCAAGTTAGCTATCACAGTGGTTTGGGTAACAGGATGATAATGACTTCATCTAATAAATTTGATACTGTCCCTTCTCTTTCTGTTTTGTGGGGGGACTTGAGAAGTGTTGGTATTAGGTCTTCCTTAAAATTTTGATAGTAGAAGCTGGTCCTGGTGGTGCACACCTTTAATCCCAGCACTCAGGAGTCAGAGGTAGTAGGACCTCAGTGAGTTCAAGGCCAGCCTGGTCTCATGGTGAGAGACCTCCCTGGGTAACTGACATCCTGGTTGACAAGTTGAGACATGAATAGTGGGCAAGTCACCCTGCCACAGCTGAGTAAATCAACCAATGAGGACAAGAACAGTGCAAGACAGGAAATGTTCCTTGGAAGGTCCCCTATCCCTGAATGCTGACTGGTGAGAAACAGAACTGTAAATTGGCACAGAGGTTTGCAGTTTTTCTGCTTAAATACTTGCTGAAGTGAATGTTCAGGAATTAGCCCCAGAGTCAGTACTGTTGTCCCTGACGGTTAATTTTTGATGTCCAATGCAATAAAGGTCTTGCTCTGTGTGGTCTTGCTCTGTGTGCTTGGGTTGTTTCAGACTCTCGGACCCTACAGCATGGCTTTATTTCTTAGAAGTTGATGGTGTGAGAAAAACGAGAAAACGTTTGCCTAGCTCTGGAACTATAAGTTCTAGGTAAGGGGTTGCAAGTTTTCTTTGCAGTTTGGGTGAGACAGAGACAAGTCCCGGACAAGTCTGCACTCTAACGTAACCATCTAACCCTTGTGTCCTGTACCACCAGGTTCTAACGCTGTTTGGATCAGATGATGAGCGCCATCTGCAGGCAGGATGCTGAAAATTGGAGGAAGATACCACTGTTCAGCATTATTAAAGATCAGGAAAACAAAGCAAAACAGTAAATGCTCTTATGTGGGTGTGACCCTCTTTATACTTTTCAGTTCTTTGGGATTAAGTAACAATATGCAAAGTCTGTCTTTCTCCAAAGCATTTCTGATCTTGGCAGACCTTAAGATAGGACTTCTCCTTCTGATCAAGTCTGACAAACTAATGCAACCTCGGGTATATAGGTACACACAAATATGTATATAAATCAAGCATTTGCTGATAATAACTCATAAAGAAAGTTATTTAAAGACAGTCCTTATTCACATATGCTTTTATTATTTACTAAAAATGGAAGCATATTTGCATATTGCAACAAATGTGTTTTTTATATAAAGAACTAAATCTTGGCTGAATATTTACTACTGCAGGACATGGAACCTTTTCAATTTTTTCATAGTTAATGAATATTTTTTATCTCACAGTTGTCAATGCTGAGACCCCTACTTTGAATTAAATACATACTATAAAATGGCAGATGAATTTCAGACATAGTAATAAGGAATCCCCAAGCCAAAATTCATTGAAAGAAATTTAATTTTATTTATTTTTATTTTATGTGTATGGGTGTTTTGCCCACATGTGTGTCAGTGTATCACATGTGTATGAAGTGACCACAGAAGCCAGAAGAATGTATTAGATTTCCTGGAACTGAAGTTATAGGTGGTTGTGAGCTGCCATGCAGGGCTCCAACCTGGTTCCTTTGGAAGAGCAGTCAGTTCGCTTAACTGCTGAGTCATCTCTCCAACCTCTGAAATAGCAATTTTAAAACTAAGCATTCTAACATGATGCAATCCAAAGATAGACTAATTAGATAACTACATGCTGAGGAATGACAGCATGGACGCATTAAAAGTCTGTTTTCTATTACTAAGATATTACGTTTCTGTAAGAAAAGAAACTTTGTAAACAATGAAAACTGCAAACCACATCATACCATAGTCTCTCAGATGAGCAGTGGTGGTTCAGGGTGCTCACTGGTGTCATCTGGTGTGAAGGCCTCCTCTGCAAAGTGCACATGTGTGCTAAGAACAAGGCTGCAGTGATGGCAGGAGAGAGAACACCAGCGAGCAGGGCCAGAAGTAACGACATGTCCTGCAGTTGATTTTGAATTAAGTTTTGGTCATTGTGATTTCAGAAGCCTTTCAGTGATACCAAAATTTTCACAAGCCTCACACCGAGTTGTGGAACCCATCGAATTGCAATCCATAGAGAAATGGGACCCACCTGTAAAAACGCCTACATCTTCATACAACCTCCAGTCTTCATTCACCATGCCTTGCTGCTGGCACTTGGGGAAGTCGTTGCTGATGTCACCAATATCTTCCACACCCCTTCGTTGTGCTAACATTTACACATACCTAGGAGTTTTCTATCTTCAAAATGTTTAAATCTTCCTGGCGGTGGTGGCTCACGCCTTTAATGCCAGCACTAGGGAGGGAGGCAGAGACAGGTGCATCTCTGTGCGTTTGAGGCCGGCCTGGTCTACAGAGAGAGTTCCAGGACAAGCTCCAAAGCTACAGAGAGAAACCCTGTCTCAAAAAACAAAAAACAAGCAACAACGCCAAAAAAAATTAAATCCAAGAAACAAAAATAAATACTTTCTGAGCCCAAACTCCCATCCCCCATCACTGCCTGACTCCAGTCTTCCTGTTCAGACAACCTTCTGGAAAGATCCGGGTAGGTTTGCTGCTTCTGCTTCCTTTCTTTTTTCAGGCCTCAGGCCTCTTCAGACTCCCTCCACTCTTTTCCATCAGACCGAACTGCTAGGGGCTCCCCAGAGGGCCCTGGACCTGCAAAGCCTCTTTGTCTCTGAAACATCATGGGTTAAGGGTACACACATTCCCAGCTCTTCTCACCCCTGTCCCAGTCTGCCCACCTCACTTCTGCACTAGGATTCAGCCTCTTGCTTGGCCCACTCCTGGATGAACTTTTCATATCCTTAGCAAATCCTACCGGAAGTGGCAGCTTAGAGCCCACCTTTTCTCCATGCCTCTCTGTATGTGGTATGCA